GCTGTGGGTGCACAGGGCTCGGCTCCGCAGTGCGGGGCCATCCCACCCCTCCATCCCTGGGCTGGGAAATCTTGTAACCCAGTTCTTTTTGGAGCAGGAGGGGAGAAGCGGGAGGAGAACGCTGTGGGGTGCTCCCCGCGGGCCGGCTTCTCGTGGAACCTCTCCGGAAAGGCGGCCGGGGAGGGTACCTTTACCGGAAGGCTTAAGGCTGTAAAGGTGTCCTGGTGACAAAAGGTGTGGTTTCATCTGGAAACGCGTTGAAACAAAATAAGCAACTTAATTCACCCGACGAGCGCTTCTCTCCCGCCCCCGATTGTCGGCTGAAAAGTGCCGTATCAACGAGAGTTGGATTTATTTTATTTTATTTTTTTTTATTGTGTGCAGTGAACCGGTTTTGCAGGATGAGCGCTGTGACCGAAGAAGTTAAGCCAGAAGATGGCAAACCGGCATCTGAAAAAAAAATATTTTATTGTGAAGTGAGTGCGTTTCCTGACGGCTTTTCAGACTATGTGCTAAAATGCAGGCCCAAGGTATTAAAGACCACGCTCTTAGAAAGGCAGACCTGGCCCAGATGTAGCGTGGCAAGCGTGTACGGTGAGAAAAGCCGTTAATGTGGCGAATACCGTGGCCAGTCCCTGCAAGAGCTACTTGTCCTGGGATTCGGTGAATTCAGTTTGTTCTTGAGCAGCCACGGGTACAATGTGAAGGTCCTTAATTGTAGCCTTTCGAATCTCTGTTAAGTATCTCTCGTAGGCGACTCTAAAGGCTCGTTTGTCTGTAAAGGCTACAACTCCTGAGTCAGAACGTGTTAAATTTGTCGATCGTATGTTGTTCTAGCAGTGAATTTTTTTCTGGCACGCTAAACTTCTGGGGCAGTATGTCAAGAGAATAGGCGATATTAGCATGTGTTAGTCATTGCATTTTTTAGCTAAAAATAGTAAGAAATAATAGTAGATCTATATTGTCTTCCATTAATTATTGTAATGGCATATGTGTGTCTGTGGATCTGAATGAAATGCAGATGTCTTCCTCCATTGTTTTTCTGATCCCTTTGATGTAACAACGAACGGAGTTGCAGTTATTCTAGGGCATAATTTTGTCTCTGTTCCTTTCTAGTCACTGTACGATCATCCCTTTTTGTTGGCTTTCCAGCCTGAAGAAGTTTAGAAAACTAAGAATCCAGAAAGTGGTGGTAGGAGGGAAGGGGGAGGCTCTTAGAAGATTCGTACCACCTGGTATATTTAAACATGTATTTAAGTATCATTTGAACAGGTTTGCACGCTATTTCTGGTCACTTTAGTGGTATGCTGCTCTCCTAAATGTCACACAAATTGTACTGTTTAAGCCGAAGAAGGCCTTGAGAATTATGCTGTAGAAACGGATGTATTTCCAGTTCTTATAACTCGCCAACTACAGAATATCCACAGCGTAACTGAAGATGTGCTTTCAATTTATCTTTTTAGGTTTGTAAAGTTCCGTGTATGAGTTCTATAAGTCTTCAGTCACACTATCGTGGTGCAAAGCATAGAAAGGTAACCTTTTTTCCATATTAAGTGTATGTGCAAATTTAATCATCGATCTAGGATTCTTGTAAAATTCAGTAATTTACTTCACATGGCTTCAAGTGCTTATCTAACTCATTGGTAGATCTGTAACAGTAATTTGCTTGAAAAATCCCAAGAAAAAGACGAGGTGGGAATCTCACAATGCTCTTTTGTACGGCATATAACGTGAAACATCGGCCGTACCTAAAGGTAAATGGGTGTTAATTGTGGAATTAACATTTGAATTACACGGAAGTCGCAGATGGTGAAAGAATGCAAACATCTGTTTTGGGTAGGGTTGGTAAAAGTACTGCTCTGTTTTCCAAGTCTACATAACTCATGGGTACTTTGAATAAAACTAGCTTTCTTGTTACTTTGATAGTAACAGCAATTCGGATTTCCTGCAGGAGTTACATAGGCTTAACTACCAAGTCCTATGGGCCCGTTTGTTTGAAGCATCTCGATAGCAACTTCCTGGTTCACTGCCTTTGCTTGTTTTGTGCTTCAATTAGACAACGTTCTGTAGAGAGGAGGCTTTTCTAAACGTTTGACTGAACTTTTGGCTGTCAATTGGCTGATGATTATCTTTTGTTTAAAATCCCACATTTTCGGTCTATAAAGTTGAGGCGTACTCAGTTGTCTCTCCTTTCCACTGTTACTTACGATTGCTGTCATCAGATTGATTGTATTGTTGTGGCACCAAAGTGCCTGCTCTGATGGTTTTCTTAATGATGGTTAATTCTTCCTGGAACGCTAAAGACTAACTGCAATATTGTCTTTCTCCAATGTTGGTGTGCCCCTTTTCTTTCAGTTGTAGATGAGGGGCATCTCCCCACCTCTTGGTTTTCAAGACGGATTAATAGTATTTTGTTACTTATTTGCTGGTCACTTTAATAGCGTTGACTCTTATTTGAGTCAGCGGCTCCACTTTTTCCAAACGCTTTTTTTTCCCCCAGGATTCAGTCTTCTTGTTCCCTGTTGATCCAGTAGAAGTGTACAGTACTGTAGTATTTTTCATGTCCTGCCAAATGTTCTTGCTGATGCAAGAAGTTCTTTTGGTTTTGTGGCTGTTTCTTTTTATTTCCTAGCTAACCTTCATAGCAATCCAATTATTGCCGTTGCTCCCTTTTAAAGTGGAAAGACTAGTGATTATTTTCTTAGAAAATCTGCATGTAGTTTTCCTTCTGTTTCACTCCTGGAAATCAGCGTATGCTAGGCTACAACTGTCAAACTTTATTGAGTTAATGAAGGACTGCAAACTGACAGTGAACAAGAATTGGGCAGGTTGAAAACTGGACGCTTGTTAGATGTTAAATGTTGGTGCTGGGGTGTGGAGTCCTGGTAAGTCCCATGACTGCATTTCTGTGGGAATGATGATGCAACCTTGGAGAGTTATTGTCTTCAATTACCTCTAATTCCTCACTTTAAATTATGAAATCTATTGTATGTTTTGGCGGAAGAAGATCAGAATTCATTGAGTTATCACAAGAAGTTTTTGTATCGCCAAGTTTGAAGTAACTGTAAAGGTCCTGAGCTTATGTTCCTTTTTGATACAGGCTAGGTGTTGATAAGTGAATAGCTCTTAGTTTGTTCCTTACTAGAGGAGTTCCTGTTCAAAATAATACCAAAGGATGTCCTGGCAACGTAACAAAATGAAGGGAAGATGGTAGTTCTTTACCTAAATCGTAACACTGGCCAACCCACCAGACTTTAGTCAGATGACTTTTTTTATTTTCTTTCAGCTACCCATTTGTTTTTAAAATGGCATTGATAAAGATACTTTGTGCTTGTCCTCCGCTAGAGGAAGTTTCAAAAACACAAGAAATAACCCTTCATCAGGAGGACAGTCACTGAGAAAATTCCAAGAAACATATGTAAACACTTGCTACACGTGTGAAATGATTCTCATTTCATTGGCCTACATTTCCCATAGCTATTCAAAGTAAAATGTGTTATTTTGAGTAGCTGCACTAGTAAAGCTTGACTATCGGACAGATTTGTAGGAATATTTCAGTTGACTTTGTGTACATGGTTATTGTATCTCTTTTTTTTTTTTGGTCACCTGGGTAGTTTGGTTATTACGAATTTTGGATAGGTACATAAGATATTTATCTAGCTTACTTCTGCATACCTTTGTTTCATCTTTGTATGTTGATTGGCTTGCTCACCCGTATGTCAGTACCGTTGACTCCTAAACAATAGCATCAGAATGCATAATTTATTTGAAAAAGGCTACTTCCTAAACATCTAAGTATACCTCTTAGAGACATTGTGTCGAATGCATTGCTTCCATAAAACTAGGGAGATTTTTATTAGTGACCTATGTATAACCAGAGAATTAAGACTTTTTTTTTTTTTAAGGAAATTAATTCGTATGTGCTACACTTCTCAGACTCCAAGGGTATTGCTTTTGATGAGTTAGAGATTTTTAGGGTGTTTTTTCGGTACTGATTCTCAGTCTGGGTATTTGAACTGACAGTGCCTAAATCATTTGCTGCTGGAGGGGAAAATGTAAATAATATCTGTCTCTTCATGGCAGCTTAGGCAGACTACCCAGATCTGTTATAAATCGGATGGAAGTTTTACTCTTACTTTTACCCAGAATATCTTGTTACTTCTCAAACTAAAAGAGAATAAGCCTATACCTAAAGCTTCGTGGAATTCCTTTGACTGTGTTGGAGGCTAATAATTTGGTGCATTAAGCTGAGTCTATGTACTTAGAAGAAAGTGAGTCCTGAGTTGTTTCATTTGGGTTTTTTTTTTTCATTTGTATATTTGCAGGCTTAATGCTCTGTAATCCACTCGATTGATGTGTGATTGACTTCAAGGGATAGAAACAGACTGGATGACATATTGCGTCATAAAATGGAAGTAATTAAAAAATATTTCAAGCAACTGATTAGTCAGTGCAATGACTTTCTTCCTAGTTTGTTACTAGATTAGGTTTTGTTTATTTGAAGCCTTTTCCATTTGCACTTTGAAATTTATGTGAGTATTTTTTCAGAACGAGTCTCGGAGTAGTTGCTCTAGTCAAATAATAGATGATCAGTTATCTAATTAGATAAAATTGTTGCCACTTGCATTCTATGATATATGAAACTTAAAAGTAGAAGTTCTCAAGTCTTTGAATGCTTAATTTACAAAATATTAGGTAATATTTTAATTCTATACAGTGTACCTCTTTAGAGTTCATTTAGCTTCTATCCCTGAGAGTTGATTCTTTGTTGTGCCAGGGGTTCGTATGTCTCACTGACTTCAGAAAGCATCATAGCATGAACACTGTGTCCTTGAACTGAAGCTTGAGTAATAAGCAGAATACACCTCTAATTTTTTCTAGTGCTGGTAGTTGATGAGGCCAAACCCCTGTAAAAAGTACTAGTAGACAAAAGATTGTGGGGTTGGGATGACCGCAGTACAAGGCTGTGTATATCTTGTGCATCGAGTGCCTTATGACCTTTGTATATTTGCATACTGATGGGTTTTGTGGTTTTGTTGCTGAATAGGTATTGGTAGGGACAGTGGGTGGAAAATGACTTAGGCAAAATAGCATTCATACATGTGCACGTAGTTCCTAGCTCTTTGGAAATTGGGATTAGCTTGTATTATATACTTTGAAAAACAGTTGAATGTTACTTTTAGCCATTATGGTAAAATGGTTAGAAAATAATGTTTCTATAAGTTTACTAATGCTTTTCATTGAACCAAGTCTGTAAGAGCAATGGGGGATACACTACATGAAAGGTCGGTTTGGGTTTTTTTTGGCAGCTGAGTAAAAAGCTAGGGTCTTTTCAGGGAGCAGTCCCCAGATAAAATACACCTGGAATATGATAGTATGTGATATATTTAATTCTGGTTTTGCAAATACGTGTTGGCTTTAGTGTTCAGTTTGCTAGAGAGGAAATATTAGAGTGGAATGTCTTTTTTTGCATGTGTTTTGAACAGCCCTTTGCAGGTATAGCACCAGCAGAAGTGTGTTGCCTCTTCTGTGAATTGTATTTGGAGCACAGATGAAGATTGTTCTGGCTCTATCAAGGATTCAAGGTTCTTTGCCCTTCCTTCATATCTGGGGATAGACAGGGTAGAAATGCCTACTGTGTTCCAAAAGGAGAGGAATCTGCATTCAGGGCTCTACAACCCCATTAGAAACAAGGAATGTTCAGATCTGTGAAGAGAGTTTAGTTTTTGTCTTCACTATTTCAGCGTTCTCATTTCTGCTATACCTCTTGCCCCTGGTTGTCGTGCATCAGAACCTGTGGTTGAAAGTCCCTCATGTACAGACAACTTTTCTGTCCTTTCATATGGCATTAACATCAACCATGCTGGAAAAGCATTTTAATTGGATATTTTTGTATTGATACTTGGAATGTTAATATAGCTAGGTTTCAGTTACAGGAAAATTGCCTTGCTGTTGTATTGTTTATGTTTGGTCTCAAGAAGTATGCTGTTATGTTCTGCAGCTTATCTTCATGATCCAAAGAGGCTTAAACTGTAGAGCTTTTCTTTTGAAAAAAACCCTTGTTTTGCTTAGTATAAGCTTGAAGAGTTAAAATAAATAGAATTTCTGTGTATGGGCTGCTAACATCTAGCTGATATGATTTCCAGAGTGTGTACATTTAGGAACAACTGAATTATGTTTACATAATACTTAACTATGCATGTGAAACTGTTTTGTTAGATAACCTGTGAACTTGAATTGTGTGGAAAATTAATTTATGCAGTAGCTCTTACAGATTACAGTGTGCGCGGGAGGTTTGAACCCTAAAAACCAGCAGTTTTTGAGTTTTGGCTTCTCAAAGTTAGACACTTTGTTAAAAGTTACCCTAACTTTTCATGGTCTTAGCTCAAAAACAGCTGTTGCAACTTGCTTGCAACACATGACCCAGGACAGAGAATAAGTTTCTTACATAATGTGTGAGAATCTTCATTCCTGATGTAGTTTTGGGTTTTTTGCTGCTTGCTTTTTTTTTTTTTTTAAAGAAACCTCAAGAAGGGGTCACAAGTAAAATGGACCCGTTAGCTTCAGTTGTGGAACTCCATTTCTAATGTTAACAAAAGCAGTAATCCAAGTGCAATCAAAGTCAAAGCTGATTGTCCAAAAACGGTCAGGAAGAAATTCTCTTTGAGCAGCATCTCACGGTTGGTAATGTTTTCTATGCTTGTCTGAAAAGTTAGGTAGTAGCAGCTGTTTGTTGTAAAACTCTGTAGAATGACAAGTAACGAGAACACTTGCGGCAGCATAACTACAAGGGAGACTGTGTCTATTCTAAGCGTATAAAATCCTGCTGAGCTCATACAACACTGCCCACTATCTGTGGCAATACTGGGACTTAGGTAACTTCCTTTTTTATAACTGCCATGAAAGAACAGCTATTTGGCTTCTTAAACAATTAACTGTTGTGTCAGTCTTCCTTCCTACTGAATTGTCATGTTGACGTGCAGCATCTCTTCCATGCCGCTGAATACTGAAAGTATAGCACTCAACTCCATGGACTGCTCTGGGCAGAGAGCTGCTTTACTGGTGGAATGATCATGCTTATTGTTTCATTCTTGTAAATGGCAAGTTTATGTTTATTTGCCAGAAAGTTCTCAAAATGAGTCAAGATCATTTTAGCCACGGTCTGAAATGGAGATTTAAGTTCCTCTTTTTCTTAGGTTCTGCCAAAAAGTGATCTGTTCTGGATTCAGCTGGTGAAAGGCACTTTTCCTGTTCTTCATTATATGAATGAACTTTGGGGAGATTTGGCTAGCCTTAAGGTTTAGCGAAATCCACTCAAAATGGTGGGGAAGCTTCTTTTTGTTAGTTTGTTCTTCCTTTTGGGGCGAGTTTTCTTTTTCTTTTTTGTTGGAACTACAACTTTTGAAAACTTAGGAGCCATAATCATGCAGAACTCAGGGTTTTGTCTGGCATCTTTAAGATGTTGTGTTTCAAGCCATAATCATCTCTTAAAACTTCATTAATAACAGGGCTTTCTTGAAATTAACTTGTATTAACTGTAAGTACACTTTTGACAGTACTTCCAGCTTTTGCAGAAAATCATAAAGGCTCTAATTTTTCCTATTTGATAATGGAAACTTTGGCCTATATTGTAATTCATCTGCAAAGGCTTCTCAGGAAGTACAGGGTTTTTCCTTCAAATGGTGCAGCATATTAATTTCTTTTTCTTATTTTATTTTGGGATGACTTGCATCTTCATAATTAAAGAAAGAGAAAGCCCTGAGACCCAAGACTGTCTATTGTAAGTATAATACTTTTTTTCTTTCCAGCCTCCTAGGATAGATATTGCTTGGGGATTTTAATATTTGTTGCTTTTCTAGTAGTTCAGGTATTTGCATTTGCCAGATTTATGTATCTATAACTGTGTTTCTCTTTATATGCTGAACATTCTTCTGAGATTTCTATCTAGTGAACTGCTGAGCAAAGAAATATTTTAGAGCATGAAACCTTAATTATGCCTTTCCACATCTAAATGTTTGTATATCTATCTAGTAGAGGGATGGATAGTCAGTATTTCAGTTTCTTACCTTCCCAGGCTAAACTGTCTCCCACTTATCTGTCAGCTTTATGCACTCACCGCTAAGCTTCAGGCAGTATGCTAAGAGGCTAAATCAGCAGGCTAACAGAGCACTGTTGCAAATGCAACTCTACCAGTGCTGGAGTTGCCTAGCTGCATCACAGGAATGTTCTGCCTCTCTTTATTGTAGTGTACTTGGAGTAGAAAGACCTATTCAAGGTAAACTCAGTTGTTGGGGTATCTTTTCCCCCAGAAACTGAGAATGTGAATCCAGACTGTCATATGTCAATGAAAATAAGAGTTGTGGTGAAAGGTTGAAAACATGGGATATAACTCGTTCACAGTGGAAATGGAAATCTTGTTGTAAAGGCACTGATGATGACATACAAGATTTTTAAAGTACAGGAAGCAGAGAACATTGGCAGATGTGGGAATACTGATAAAAAAACAATTGAGAAGATTAAAAACCAAAATGGAGTCATCACAAGAAATAAGCCTGTCACTTCGACTTTGTCTTCTTAGCCTGTTTTCCTAAGAAACAAGGCTTACGTTCTGGCTTTGTCATCTGTTCCCCAGTATCTTTTGAACCTCTCAGCCTTTTTGAATCAAGTTGATCAAGGTTTCCTGAAAATACACATCTGCGCAGAAGAGAGTAATGGTGTCAGTCCTCTACTGAGGGAAGTGCTGCAGGCTGAGCTCACCATTTACTGGACCCTGAAGAATCAACGCGAGAGAGACTTAGAAAAGTACTGGTCGGAGTCCATTTTCTAAGAGACTGGCTTTTATTAGCTGCTCTCATGGTTTGGTGTTGACAAGAGAATATTGGTGCAAGACATATCATTCAAGCGTGTGAACAATTATGAGACATTTTGTCTCGGCAGACACAAGTACTGTGTGCTCTTCTCTTTTTAGAAATACTGGTAATGAAGCTCCTTGACAGAATTTCTGCAGAAGTTCTGAAAAGGTATAGGTCTCCTCAAAATCCAATGGATTTGAGCAATCCAAAATTGTATTTATACCTCAGCAGCAACAACAGATTTTTTTGGCTATGGGCTAGTGATTTAATGGAAAACAATTTCTAGACATTTCTTTGTATTTCTCGTCAGAAACGGCCATAAAAAGTAATACTCGCTAACTGAAGAGGTTCTTGCTTCAAGATCATAAAATCTTGTTTTGGAGGAGTAATGTAAAGGATGCATAGGATAGAAGGTGTGGCCGCAAGACTGTAAAAAGAGTGGTGGAATACAGGAGCCTGTTGCAAAGACCTACGCCTTTAGAAAACAGTACTGCTTAATGTACTACAAGCTCAGTGTTCCGTGGAGAATTCAGGTTAAGAACATATGCTCGTTATAAACACTGCATCTCTGGAAATGTCATAGGTTAGAATCTTTCAACTGTGATGTATCTTACAGAATGAGAAGAGATGTTAAAATACCTGATTATTAAAGTGAAGAATCTAGCTGTGAAACTTTGGTAAACAAGTTAGAGCTAACTTCTGGAGGAGTCCCAGCATCACATGGTACCACATGTCAGAAGCATTGCAAGACGTGCTTTAATCCAGAAAGTTCTGTGCCTCAGTAATCATTTTGAAGCAATCAACATCTTTTACTTCTAATATGAAATGATTATTCATGCTATTGATGTCTCCTTTGTTGTACTATATCCGTATTGAATTCTGCTTCACTGAAGATCCAGATGTGTAAGGCTAATTTGCAAGCCACTGTTAGGGTTTATTTGTCCAAAAGCGGCTAAAATTTGGCCTGATGAAGTTTATTGGTATGTTTTAGTTGTGTGGGTTGTTTTTTTTTTGCAGGTGGAAAAGCTTTCCACCTGAGCAACTTTTCAAAGATGGCAATTCAGACTTCATTTTGGGGACTGCAATGCAGAATTATGTATTTTATATATATATAAAATCATAGAATTGTTTAGGTTGGAAAAGACCTTCAATATCATGGAGTCCAACCGTTAACCTAGAACTGCCAAGTCCAGCACTAAACCATGTCCCTAAGCACCACATCTGCACGTCTTTTAAATACTTCCAGGGATGGTGACTCAACCACTTCCCTGGGCAGCCTGGTTCAATGTTTAACCACTCTTTCGGTGAAGAAATTTTTCCTCACATCCAATCTAAACCTCCCCTGGCGCAACTTGAGGCCATTTCCTCTCGTCCTTTCGCCAGTTACTTGGGAGAAGAGACCAACACCCACCTCGCTACAGCCTCCTTTCAGGTAGTTGTAGAGAGCAATGAGGTCTCCCCTCAGCCTCCTTTTCTCCAGGCTAAACAACCCCAGCTCCCTCAGCCGCTCCTCAGAAGACTTGTTCTCCAGACCCCTCACCAGCCTCGTTGCCCTTCTCTGGACACGCTCCAGCACCTCGACGTCCTTCTTGTAGTGAGGGGCCCAAAACTGAACACAGTATTCGAGGTGCGGCCTCACCAGTGCCGAGTACAGGGGCACGATCACTTCCCTACTCCTGCTGGCCACACTATTTCTGATACAGGCCAGGATGCCATTGGCCTTCTTGGCCGCCTGGGCACACTGCCGGCTCATGTTCAGCCGGCTGTCGACCAGCACCCCCAGGTCCTTTTCTGCCAGGCAGCTTTCCAGCCACTCTTCCCCAAGCCTGTAGCGCTGCATGGGGTTGTTGTGACCCAAGTGCATGACCTGGCACTTGGCCTTGTTGAATCTCATACATGCAGAACTTCTCAAAACTCTCCCATGGACATATTAACATACAAATAACTCTCCCTCAAGAGCCAGTGGATCCAGGAAATTCATTGTATTCTGTCACTGAGATACAAGAATAAATTCTGAATTTGCTTGGCCTTTGTCTTTTCATTTTAAATAGTTGATGATTTTTCTATAGTTTACAGACATATATAGTAAGCATGAACAAAAGTTATACTGCATTTGTGGAGTTAAGTAGTAAAGTCTTGTGAATAAGCATGGAAAGTATGCGTATTCTTAAAATAGGTGCAATATGTAAAGTATGAGTCTGGTATTATTTCAGGATATAAATTAATGAGATGCTCCTGTTATTGCTGCTGGATTTGCACTCTTGTAACGTTCATGTTATCAAATACTTCAGTGAGAGTGAAATATGGCAGCATGTTCACAGAGCTGGAGTTCAAAGAGCCTATGGATGTTGTGAAAGTGAAGGATGAGTTTTCTTGGAAATCACTTGGGACAAAACCTAACGAGTGTCTGAAGTGTACACTGTCTAAAGAAGAACAGGTACTTCAGAAGATGAGGTTTGACATATTTAAAATGTTTTACACCAACATCTGCAATTTCTTCCGTGCTGCAGAATTAAAAAAAAAAAAGTTCCGTTGTCAGTAGGGAGAACACCACCAATGCTGCTATCACTTGTAAACCAAAATTAAAAAAGACACATTTTTTGGATTCTGAGTGTTTTCAAGTGGGGCATGCCTTGTACAGTATCCTTTCTGAACTCATAAAAAGTAACTGTTCATAATCCAGAAGTGATGAGCATGAGTAACCTGACTGTTTAACTGTACAATCTTGTTGACTTTGAAGTCAGTTAAGTCAGGAAATACATCTGTTTCCAGATGATTGTGTTTGGAGGAGTACCACTTTCTGTAACTTATTTTTGTGGTAATGACAAAATTGGATATCTGGCGTGGGTTTTTTGCCTGCTGTCCAGCAGTTCAGAGGAGAGCAGCTTAATGGAAGATGTGGGAAGAGAAGATGCTGACGTTCCAGGGCCTTACTAAGAGAGTTAAATCAAAGCTCAGTTAAGTATATCAATTTCAGTCGTGATTTCTTTGTACAATGATATAATTGGACAGATGGAAGACTTCTTTCAGCTCTAGTTGAGGCAGTTGCACATATGTGTTCAGGAATAAGGAAGGGAGGAGACTGAACATTGCTGTCTTTCCTGGGACTTTTTGGCCAAAGCAGACAGAAGTTTGGAAAACTTTTTGCTTTAAGCAAGAGGCGTTAAAGGATGGGGGAATATGTTAGGCAAATGTTCCCTGGTCAATAGCAAAATCCAGTGGTTTACTACTCAAACAAGGCAGCTCAGGTAGGAAGGCATAGTATAGAGTGTGAGCCCTGTTATAGCCATTTCTGGGCTGCCTAGCTTTATTCGTGAAGTTAATTTGGCACAAAGAAGAATGGATTAATGGAATTTTTTTGCGCAGCCTGTGGAATTTTTCTTGCGTTACAGGAAGGTGCAGAGTTAGCTTGCAGTACTTCTCTTACAATGATACAAATGAAAAGTATTGAAAAGTGTAATAAGGGATGTTGTGGGTGTTCAGTTGCTGGGTCTGGCAACCTGCGTCTACATTCTTCAACTTAAAACCTTTAAGTAGCACCATGAGTAAAGAAAGCTTCATTATGGTCATTCTGTAAAGCATGGAGTCAAGGGGAGGAATCAGATCTGAAGATAAGCTGCATTTATTTAACAGCACTGACTATAAGTTCTTCCTCCAGTGAAAGCACAAATGTCATGTATTCTGCCTTGGGTTCACCAATGACAACCTTATCAGTATCCTGATCAGCATTTCAGCTTTATGATATAAGATAAATTTATTTATTTTAACATGTCCCTCCATGCTCAGTGTCTGTCAGGCATTGATTAGTATGGATAAGGTTTTGGGGTGTAAAACTACTGCTACATTTTCAAAGGAAGGAAACCTGGAAGATCTCTTCTGAGTTACAGACTAGAAGAGAAAATGTTTCAGAAACCATAACAACAGAAGTACTAAGATTGAACACTACTCCAACTCCCTTACCACCTCTCTTTTGGGGAGTTCCCCCATACAATGGAATATAGAGTCTTTGTGCACTTCACCTCTTGTATTCAAAAGTGAATCTGCAATGCTGAGTCCAGTACCTCTTTGTTGCAGCTGAGTAACTGAATTGACAATGTCTGAAACTGTCCTTAAGTTTTGAAACATAGCTGTTTTATTTCTGGCAGTCATTAGGAAGGTGTGTGCATTACAAGTATAGATGCAAAATCTATAAAAATAGTATACATGCATGATGTATAGATGTAAAATGTGGAGAACGAAGAAACATGTTCTCCACCGTGTCATTGAATATTGAAAGGGATTTTTTTTGTTCATATAGATAACTAGTATCTGGAAAATATCCCTTACTAAATAAAACCATTAGTTGGAAGGGATTTCCTGAGACTGATTAGGTGATTTCCTAACTTCCTGATTGAAGCAGGACTACTGCCAGTGCTGGATCATCACTTGCTTACTGAAGCCTTGAACATCTCCAAGGGTAGAGAGTCTTCTACCTGTGTTTAATCAGTCTGTAGTTGCTCTCCTGTCTTAAAGAGGAATTTTATCCTAACATCTAATCTGTGCCTCCTAAGCAACTACTTCTGGCTGCTACTTCTTATGCTGTTGTCACATCCGCAAAGGGTTTGACTCATCTTTGTAGCTGCCATTCAGGTATCCATGCTATTAGATCTCCTCTTAGCCTCCACTTTACCAGACTAAACAAGTCCAGCTCCCAAACCTGTTCTCATAAGTTATTTGCCCTGTGTTGTTTCTCTTGGTAGCCCTTGGCGCTGGACCATCTGGTTTCTCCACATCCCACTTGAACTGGAGAAGGATGGAACTAGACAGCCTCACAAGTCCCAAATAATGGAGGATAAGATATTCTGAAGTATGCTGCCTGTGCAGTATCTCAATATGGTGTTTGCCTAGTTTATGGGAGACATGCTTTTGGCCAATATTCAGCTTAGAATTCATCACAACTCTGCAGTTCTTTTTGACAGTGCAGCTGCTCAGTCAGCCAGATCCCAGCCTGTGCTCATGAATGGGATTATTTCAGATGCAGAACTCTACACTTCTTATTACGTTTCTTAAGGTTTCTTTAACCCTTAATGTTCCAAAGGTCCTGCTCAACTGAAGCTGTATCCCCTAAATTACTGTTGTCTGTGAATTTGCTGAGGGTGTTCTGTGCATCCTCAACCAGATTATTAATGATGATGTTAATCGTTGTGGGCCCTGGAATCAGTCTTTGGGTACTCTGGTGCTTACTGAACACCAAGAGGCTGGGCTGTTGATCGTTGCCTTTTGAGCCTGGCAGCCCAGCTGATTTTCAGCTCATTGGTCAGTCTGATATGCTTTAAGGGAAAATACTGTTGTGTTTTGGTTTTGAGATGCTTAAGAAATATGACTTACATTATTAATAGCATTACAAAGCCATGTGGCTAGTAAACGTGAATTAAATGCTAGCCTGGAAACCTGCTGTCGCTGAATGGAAGTGTCTTCAAGATCATAATTGCTTTTGTTAAACTTTTGCAGGCAGCAATGATAATATTTGCTAAATGCATCCTTTTTAAAACAAACAAAACAAAACCAACTCAAACCCCCAAACTGCTACCTTTGGTGATAGTAGTAGCTACAACTTGATTTTTAACTTGACCATATCTGTAAACTTCAACCATGTTAAGGCAGACTGCACTGTGAACTGCTTCTGGCGCAATTCTCTGCAAATACAATTTGTTCCTAGAAGTAAACAGAAAATAAAGCACTAAAAATATTTCACAGGTGCCTATTTGTGTCACTTAGCATTTGGCCACGTTGTCAGTCTGCAGATGCTGGACCTGGAATCTAACTTGGGCTTCAGGCACTAACTGAGCAACTCTGAAATTAAGTAATTTTCATACTTGCAGAGTACCTGGAGATCATCTTCTGTTCATGCTACCAGAAACTTTGAAGCTTTTTACTGAAAAAGGTGGATAATTTATTGTAAGAAGTCAAGGGAGATATGCTTTCTCATACCCCTCCCTTATGTTAATATTGCAGAGTTGTTTGCAAAATGTTTACAACTCTGATTTGAGTTACAGCTTTGATATGTATCTAACTGCCTATCTTGTGCAGGAGGAGGAGAAAACCATTGATGTATACATGTTGTATTTGCCATGACTATGGAAAACTTCTTCACTTCAAAAATAGGAATTAAATGGGCAAATGCATAGTTTAACTTAATCTTTCATTTTTTCCAGTAAATGAGTACTGGTGTGTCATCTTGTTTTAATCTTGAATGCTGCAACTTAAAAAATACTGAGAACATCATTAAAGTGCACTTGTTGTGTGTCTGTGCCTATGGATTTGAGGGAAGAGGGGACAGGGGAAAGAAGTTCCAAAGGAAGGGAGTGGAAGTACCTTTACAAAAGCATGTCTAGAAATTCACTCCCAAGCTCCGAGTGATTAAAAATACATACAGAAGCCTATGTAAAAGAAGATGCTAGTCTGTATGCAGTTTAATGACTTTACAAATTGTCTCTGGGACTGTGTTTAGTCTCTAAATGTTTAGACCAGAAGTTTTTTGTCAGGTACCTGTGACACAGATTGACTGTCATGCAGAACACTGAGTAGTTGAAATAATTAAAATAACTAGGCAATATGAAAAGCACTTAAAAATCAAAGAAGAATTGAATACTCTATGCTTCTGTGACATTCATGGGTTTGGTATATGGTGTTGGTGGGGAAGGGGAGTGGAAATGAAGACTTTCTTACTTAAAGCAGTAAAGTTACAAAAGGAAAGCGTAGCAAGATGGAATACTGCTATTGCTGAGCCTATATTAAACTGTAAAATGAAGATAACTTCAATTCTCTAACTTGTTTGGATGGTCTGCTATGTACTTAATAAAAGCAAGTGAGAAGAAGTAGTCTGACTGTCAAACTATTATCCTAGGTCCTCCAGCTCCAGTCCGAACTCCGATGAAGTATGAAACACAGAGACCAGGTAGCTGAATATAAATGAGCTAATGTCCTTTTCAGATGCAGCTTTGGAATCGGTGGGTTTGTTTTAATGATGACCAAAGCAGGTGGTTGGTTATGGTTTAGGAAGAAGCAATGCAAGTTACCAAACATTTGAACCATTGTCTTTTCATTTGTGCACTGGTTAATTTGTGTAAGGAAAGATCCTAGGAGAATATGAAGCTACGAGTATTTTCACAGAAAGATTTTCAAACTTGAGACTTTATAGTTTCTTTCTTCCTGATTAGCTGATAACATCTGGTATCAATGAATCTCGCTAATGTGTTTTTAGCTGGTGAAGTTTTCAACAGAAAATTTTGCGGCACGCATGTGTGTACACGTACAATACAGTGAAAGTTGGACAAAACAAAAGCATATAAACCAAGAACAGTATGGGTTGTTTATTATCAAGATGATATTAAGACAAGAATATTTAGTTGTATGTTAGGAAGCAAGAAGAAAGTGGCCATTACCTTGTAGAGACCTGTAACTTTTTTCTGCATGGATCTTTCCATATTAAGCCCAAAAGACCCCACTGTCAGCTTGGGAACGGGCAGCTCACACTGAGAGCTACTGCACAGACACACAAATGTACGAGAACTGCATAATACATTTAAGTGTTGGTAAAAATCTGTCTATGGAGACTCATTATGTGGCACCAACTTGTTACGTGTCACCTCTGTCACGCTATGCTACTGCTGCATGTCACCTCAGACAAAAAAACCAAAACAACAGAAAAGGTTTTTAACAAGACTGTGAAGTTTTCGTGGGAATGGGCCACACTGTTCCCATGGCAGGAGGTGTCCCATCAGGTATTTTCTACCACAATTAAATTACAAGAGGTTTTACATATAAATTAATGCTGGAACTTTGTGATTTTTTTTGTGTGTTCAGTCCTGGAGTTTGACTTGATGGCAGCACAAGCATATTCCTAATGGAGTGAATATTTAAGAACAAGCACGGAATTCCCTATCCTTCTGAAGTTTTGTGGTTTTGTTTGTTTTTTTTTTAAACCATAACCTGGCATACTAGAGGGAAAGAATACAGTAACATGCTGTTCAGTGCTTGTATTTCTGCTTGTTTGCTCCAATTTGAAGAAACTAGCAGTGTTTATGACTCTTATGAAATTAATCAGTCAGTAAAAATTCAGCTGTATGTAATTAAGAAGATGCATTCTATTTCTGCACATTTTTTTCTCAGATTAAAAATACGTATTTTAACACTTCAGCATGCTCTTTTATAATGGCCAACATGTGAATACACTTAAAGCCTCTTTGAGATTGTTTTGCAGATACATTTAGCTGAACTTTGCTGGTGCTCCGAGTTGACCAGGAATACTTTAATGAAAGTGTTTTAGGCAGTGCAAAAACCAAGGTATTAAAACTCAGTGAGGAGCGAGGTACAGCCCTGATTGAAACACTGCTAGTTCAGACTCAGGAACATACTACCTGTGGTTGCACAGCTTCTGGTCTGCCCAGAGTACAGGAGGTGTTTGCTGTATTAGTGAAGATTATGTGTTCTTTCTTAGACTTAAGGCAATATGTTTCTTGAACTTCAGACTCCAAACAAGCAGTCTCAGTATGCTATATGAGTGTTAGGGTTTTAGGGGAAGGAGGAGGTTGGTGGCTTGGCTTTTTTTTTTTTGCCTTTTTTTTTTTTAATGAGAGCTGACATGGACTGGGGCATGCTATGAATGTGAACTCGGTATCTTTCATCAGTAAATTGGATTGTGTTAGAAGGTCTATTTCGCTTATTTGGTTCTCTTCTTGAAGACATTAATTCCTTGCGTGTAAAATTGTTATGGAAAACAGAGTGTTGGAGTCTTTTTGTGAGTGACAGATCTTTCCCATTTTCCTTATGCATTTCAGAGTGAAAATTAATTTTGTCCCCCTTAAGTCTCCATTAGAAACTCCTTTAAGATCGTAGAAATTACGTGCAAACTGTCTAATGTGTAATACCGCTTTATGTGTATATTTTTTACTTTAGTGAAGAGAGGACTTACAAAGGACATAACCTGTCTGAAGGATTTTATGAATGATCCCAAAAGAGAAGAACCTCTAGTTGGTATGTTATTTTGTTTTCTAAATGGTATGTCTTTGAATTTGTGACCAAATGGCTTTTGTTTTGAAATAAAAGGTGGAATTTTAGATATTGTTTCATTTCCTGTAAATGTATTGAATAATTTGTAAGATATATCTTATCTCTTATACCTTTTAAAGTTTAGCTATTACACTAAGTACTATAAAGGCCGCCTTTTTTATACACCTAAATTGTTAGACAACTTGTTCCTGAAGGAGCCATCTTAGTAAAGAAGCTTTTCACAGGTCACAGAATGGTTGAGGTTGGAAGGGACCTCTGGAGGTCATCTGGTCTTAAGCCCCTGCTCAAGCAGGGTCACCCAGAAGAGGTTGCCCAGGACCATGTCCAGATGGCTTTTGAATATCTTCAAGGTGGGAGACTCCATGACCTCTCAGGGAAACCTGTGCCAGTGCTTGGTCATCCTCACAGTCAAAGGTGTTTCCTGATGTTCTGACAGCATCTCATGTGTTTCAGTTTGTGCCCAGTGACTCTTGTCCTGTCACTGGGCACCACTGAAAAGAGCCTGGCTCCCTCTTCTTTGCCCCCTTCCTTCAGGTATTTATACACGCTGATGAGATCCCCTCTTAGCCTTCTATTCCCCAGGCTAAACAGTCCCAGCTCTCTCAGCCTCTCCTCATAGGAGGGATGCTCCAGTGCCTTCATGATCTTCATGGCCCTTCGTATGTCCATGTCTCTTGTACTGGGAAGCCCAGAACTGGACACAGCACTCCAGGCGTGGCCCTACTGGTGCTGAGGGTGGATCATCTCCTTCAGCCAGCTGGCAACACTCCTCCTTGTGCAGCCTAGGATACCATTAGCCTTCTTTGCCACAAGGGCCCATTGCTGGCTCTTCTTCAACTTGGTGTCCACCCAGGTCCTTTCCTGCCAATCTGCTTTCCAGCTGGTCAGCCCCCATCATGTACTGGTACCTGGGCTTGTTCCTCCCCAGGTGCAGGAATTTGCACTTTTGTTAAACTGCATGAGGTTGCTTTCAGCCCAACTGTCCAGCCTGTCAAGGTCCCTCTGGATGGCAGCACAACCCTCTGGTGTATCAACCTTCCCTCCCAGTTTTGCCTCATCAGCAAAGTCGCTGAGCGTATGCTCTGCCCCATCATCCAGATCATTAATGAAGATGTTAAACAGGACTAGAGCCAGTATTGGCTCCTGAGGTACACCGCTAGCTACTGGCCTCCAACTAGACTTCATGCCACTGGTGACTTGTCATCTGGTGATTCTTTGTGGTGTTCCATTTGGTGGGATATACAGGTGTTTCTGTCTAGTGAGGTATTTTTCCTCACTGTCTTTGGGAATACTAAAAGTAATGAGAATAATTTTAAGGTTTTCTTTCTTTCTAATTGCTAGATTAGGCAACCCTTAGGAGAGGATAAGTATTGCTGCTTGTCAGTGGCCTTAGTGTTCCTAGTATGTGCTGGTGGCCTAGAGAAATATGCTCCCTGACAAAGAGCCAAGTAGCAAATTTCCTAGTATTAGCAGAGAATTTCTCTGTTTAGTGAATTGGCTTGCTGTTACTCTACATACAGTATTAATATTAAAAAGTATAGCGATTTATTATTATAAGCATTTTTATAGAAAAAGATGGATAGCAGAATGTTACTTTCTTGTATACTCAGTTCATTTGGTGATAGGTTTTGTTTTTTTTCAGAGTTAAGATTTCGCAGTATAATACTATAGCGGATCTGAGATGGAGCTGAATTTCTTCATAGAAGCCTGTATGTTTTGAATTTGTGACTAAAACAGTGTTGATAACAGAGCAGTGTTTTGGCTGTTGCTGAGCAGTGCACAGCATCCAGACTGTCTTTTTTTCCACTCAGGGTCCCCACCCCTCACCCCTTGAGTAGGCTGGGGGTGGGTGAGAGACTGGGAGGGGACACAGCCAGGACAGTCAACCCAAACTGGCCAAAAGGATATTCTGTACTACATAATGTCATGCTCAACAATCACAGCTGAAGTAAAGGAAGAAAAAGGCCGGGGGGGGGAGCAGTGTTTGGCTTCTAAGGTGGCTGGCTGTTCATCAACTGGCTGGGTATTGGTCTGCTTGTGGGGAGCTGAGTGACTGGTTTTCACATGGGGTTTTTTTTTGCTTTTTTTCCCCTCTTTCCTTCACCTATAAAACTATCTTTCCCTTACCCCATGAGTTTTCTTACTTTTGCTCTTCCAATTTTCTCCCCACCCTGCTGAGGGGTGTGTCTGTGAGTGAGCAAGCAGCTGTGTGGTGCTTGGCTGCTGGCTGGGGTCAACCCATCACAAATATGCAGTATTGCAAATTATGATAATAGGGAACAGCTGCAGGTTTTTCCTGTTTGTTTTGAGCTGCTTATAATCTTGTTGCATTTAAGCTGTTCAGAGTAAAATTTTTCATGCTAAGTATAAGCCTCAAACTTGGAAATTTCTGAATACTTCTAAGGCATAATCTTTCAGTCATTTCTAGGAAAAATGAAGAAAAATCCCATTTTCCTTCCTGTAATTCTTAAAAGTTTGTGGAAGATTTTTAGATTATGAAGAACTCAGTTTTGTGAAGTGATTATTGTCTTTCCTACATGTGCTTTGTGCTACTCGGACACTGACCAAATTATGTTTGACTAAGTAGTTTAAATGCAGTTTTTCAATCTAGACCTTTGCATGACATTTCCTAGCCTCATTCTCTTTTTTGTATGCACTTCTCCGTGAATTCTCTTACATGACTGTATTGAATGGAAGGCTCCTTTTCAGTTTCTTAAAAATATCCCAGGCAGGAAAAAAGGTGCATAAAATATTTTATTTTGGTGGGCTTGCAAATCTGCCATAGACAGTGTTTTTCCTTTCAGAATAAAGCATTGTAAAGAGAGACATTTAACTGATGTGGGTAACAAGTCCAAAGAAGTGTTGAAGTGATCCTGAAGAAGTGTTGAAATTCTGAAAATGGAATACTTTTATTTATTCATTTTGGCTTTTAGTGAGCAACATTGAAGAGAATACATTTGTTTATAGTAGTCTATACTAAAATATAGATATTTGTAACTCTTGCTTTTACAGGTTTAGAACATGTGGTTGAAATCAGATTTGAAGGAAGAAAAGAGCCGCATTATGAGTGCAAGCTGTGTGGGTTTAATACAGAGATGGCACCTATGATAGAACATCTTAGCGGATATAAACACAGAAGAGCATACATCGTGAGTAATTTTGATGCGTGTTGATCACATTTTCATTATGATACTCCCCTTTTATTTCTTTTACAACAAGTTTGAAGTTTAAATACCCATATGATAAATTGCTAATACTTGTACGGTTGACTTTTCATGGGTCAGATCAACATGAATATCTATGAAGCTGTGAGCTATTGAGGAAGTGTGATCCAGAGGTGCATGTCCATATCTGCTCAAAGTCTGTTCCTAAGTGTTTTGATTGCCTCCAGGATCAGGTTCCTAGAACATTGTGGTTCTTCCTTATTCCTCAGCATGCCCATAGCATTGCTGGGTATGGTACAGAGCATGTTACCTTTTGGTAGCAAGCTTTGCATAGTATCAGTTTTTTATTTTGAAGACTACTTAAGCAACTTTAACATTAAAATTTAATTAGTTGTGTTACAGAGAAGAAACTAGCTTGTAATGTTCAAAATGATGTTTACCAGTCTTTTGGAAGCTTGTCCAAAAGGTGAAATGTGCCAATTTTTTAGTATTGTGATGAATTTTGATATTGACCATTTCAAGCTGTTTTTGTCAACAGTCTAAAGAATATCCAGATAAAATGAAGAGAAAGACAACAGATGTAAAAGAATGCAAAGTCTCATTTCTCAGACGGATAGCAGGAGAGCTAGAGAAGACTGAAGGATTAAAAATGTATAAGGTAATTGGAAGTAAATGTAAAGTATCCAGTAATGTGTCTTTTATCAGTGCATTTATGTTTGACCTAGTAAACTTTAAAAGTACTGCTGACAAAGCTTGTTAAATTTCTGTGTGTTTCTAGGAAGTGTGGTATTCAATTGAACTAAGGCTTAACTTAAAGTTGCCCTGAAAAATCTGGGGAAATTTTATTGCTTTGCTTCAATGATTTTTAATTTTCGCAACTTAAATTTTCTCAAATGTATTCTCTCAAATATCATTTATATTTACAAGTTTATATCTCTATAAAATTATGGGCTATACTGTTCTGGGATAAATAAAACTACTTGTTCTGTTTCTAAAGGCAGTTGCAGTAGAGACTGTTGTTATGAAATTTTAATCAGAAAATCTAATATGAAACTATTTCTATTCCTAGATTGAAGGTTACATAAGACCAAGTACCTCACGTAAGTCTATGAATTACCTGAATATACTAGATTTGACATAATTGATATTCGGCCTAATTTGAAATAGTAGTTGGCTCAGAGGGTTTGACTGATATAAAACGTTCAACTTGCAATAGCACAAAATGTTTTCAGAGATTTTCCGGTTTTTGTGAATTTGAAATGAGGGAAGAAGGGAATTGCCAGACTTGCAGTGTTTCTTAGTAATTTTTTAACTACTTGGTTCTGGTGGGTTTCTCTGAATAAGCTGATAAAGCTCATTTCAGTCATCAAATGACATACATGCTGAATCACTGGTAAAAGTGGAAGTTACAGTTCTTTAGCAAGTCCATTGGAACAAGCAATGGAAACCAAACCCTAAAACATAAAAACAGCATCTTCCCTCATACAGTATGTTTGAGTTATGTCCTTTGTTACTGTAAATGTGCTATTGATACTTAATGATGCCAACCTGAAGAAATACCTACTTGCTACCTTTTGACCCTAGTACTAATATCAGTGGGAAGGTAGGTTTGATTGAAATGGGTGAAGGTTGCATAGATCAACAGAGTTTGTCAGTGTGAATCCTGCTGTAGGTGACTACCGTAGCAGTGGGGTTTTTTGGATTGATCATTGGTGGCTTCTGTGGAATGTTGGCCTGCAGAATGAGGTGGTAGAGACCCTTTTTGAGCTCAGTTTGCCTTTCTTGTGAAGAAGAGGAATGTGACCCAGTAATCTAGCTCAGTAATTCTCAGTTCAGAGTAAATTGACATCAACACTTACTGACTTCTGTAGAACCAGAAGACATGCTCAGATATCAAACCGGAACATCAGAAAGAGTGATCCCACCCAGTCCTACAGGATATGAAGAACTGGAGGAACAGACAAGAGTGAAGTTAGCTGCAAAAGTGTTGTGTCACTCAGTATTAAGTTTTGCTCTGGTTAGGTGGTAAGGGCAATATCAAGTGCATTCCAAAATAAAAGTACTCTAGTTATTTAGAAGAAAATCATGCTTGCTGGTTTAGCAGCTGTGTGTCTTTAGACTAGATCATATTGGCAGAGAATGACAATTGCCTTCTGACAGCGAGAGTGAGTTTGAGGATATGATTAAGAAAGGCCATTTGGTGGCATGTACTACTTTGCAAGTGGCAAAACGGACATTAACACCAAATTTTGGCTGCTGCAACGTTCATATGCAAAACTAAGATAAAGTTATGTATTCTTTTTTATATATACACACACACAAATGTATGTATGTATGAGAGGCCTTGAAGTGATTGATTTGTTACTTTTCTTAAAGGAAAAAATTACAGTATTTCTTTATTCTCTAAAGAAGAGAGATTATCTGTATTTTGTCTTGGGCTTCAGATTAAAAATACTGTCTTATTAAGGTAATTTCTATAATCAGTTACTCAAAGTAGGGAGTTGAGCTTGAAGACCTTATGACTTTGTGTATAAGCACAGTGTGGTAGTATAACCTATGAAGTTCTGGTCTAATTTAGTCTCTGAATTCCGCCTGTGTCATTTTTTTTTTTTCCTTTCTAAAAACTACTCTTAATGCTGCTGCAGAATACAGCAGCAAACTGGAAATAAGTCCAGAGAATTACTTTGCTATATTTTGGACCAGGCTTTTCAGATTGAATTATTGCTTCCTTGAAGTTATAGCAGATACCTGGAGAAGCTTGTCTGTATCTTCAGTGGGGAAGTGATAACTCCGTGCATCAGTACAGGATGGGAAGTGACAGACTGATCAGTCTTGCTAAAAAGGACTTGATGGTTATGGTGGATGCCAAGCTGAATATGAGCCAAGAGAACGCTCTCATTTCACATAAGGCAAAGCTCATATTGTGATACTTCAGGAGGAGCACAGGCAGCAGATTGAAGTCTTATCCCCTACTATTTGATACTGGTAAGACCAACTTGGAATGCTGTGTCTAGTTTTGTTCCTTCTAGTTCAAGGGAAAGATGGGGAAATTGGAGAGGATCCAGCAGAGGATTATGAAGGTTCTCAGGGGTCAGGAGCATGTACCTAGGATGAGGGTTAGAGGGAGCCGGGCTTGTTTAGAATGGGAAAGAGGAGGGTAAGGGGTGATCTTATAACTGCCCTTCAAGCAGTAGACTGCTACAAAGATGACAAAGCCAAAGTTGTTGGTAATTGCAGGCAACGTAACAAGAGATGGCAGCCACAGATGGCAGCTTGAGAGGCTGAACTCGGGAAAAGCTTCTTTCCTAGAGGGTAGTACAGCACTGGAACGGGTTATCCATAGGGAGTGAACTCTTCATCCTTGGAGATTTTCAAGACCTGGCTATGCAAAACTAGAATCTTATGTTGGCAGTAGTCCTGCTTCAAGTGGGAGGTTGGACTTAGCTGGTAGAACTGGAAGTTACTGTGTGGTCACAGTGCTATGACATCATCAGAATTGCAGAGATGTAATGCAATAGCTTGTACAACTGGAGTGCTGTAATGGATGGATATGGGCTCCTTATGAAAGATGGCATAGAAGATGACAGTAGGAGTTGTGCTGGATGCAGGAGTACCTTTTCTTTATAGAGCCATGGCTGGTGGTTGTTGAGATCTTATGGGTCAGGACTAGGGGGAAGGCCAACAAGAACAACATCATGGTAGATGTCTGTCCCTCTTGAACAGGCAGTCTGTATCAAGGCTGTCTTTACATAATGGGAAGAAATCTCCCAAATGCAGGTCCCAGTTTTCTTGGGTGAACTGACTTTTGCTGGAAAAGGAGCATGGCAAGTTGCAAACAATCGAAAAGTGAGTCGAGGCCAGTTTTTCATGCAGGTGCTGGATGAGTCACCAAGAGGAAGTGTTTTGCAGAGAAGAAGAGTCAGGAATGTGATGATCAATGGCAGCCTTAGTTGGAGTGATCATGAGATGATACAGGTTAAAACCCTTTGGGGAATGAGGAAGTTACGTATCAGACTAATTCTGTTGGGCTTCAGGAGAACAGACTTCAGCTTCTTCAGAAAACTGGTAGTCAGGATCCCTTGAGAGGCTGCTTTGAAAGGAAAAGAAGCCCAAAAGAGCTGATCAGTCTTCAAGGAGAACCTCCTCAAAGAGCAGAAACGATCCATTCTGCTGTCCAAGAATATGGGCAGGCATAGCAGGTGGCTAGTGTGTTTGAACAGGAAACTCCTAGCTGATCTTAAATGCTAAAAGGAAGCATACAGAGAACAGAAGCAGAGGCAGGCTGCCAAGAAGAAATGTATAAGAATGCAGATGTATTTGGGGTGAAATTAGGAAGGCAAAGCTTCTCTGGAGGTGAAAGGAATATGAAGGGCAACAGGAAGGCTTCTGCAGGTATGACAGCTGCAAAAGAAGATGTGGTCCCACTGCTGAGCAAGTAGCCTGGTGATGAAGGATGCGGAAGGGGCTGAGATATTTGTAGCTTTCCTCGCCTTGGTCTTTACTGAAAAGGTCTGCTCTCAGATCTTTGTGTATAATTATAAAGTTTAGGGGAGAATGGCATTACCCACTGTAGAGAAGGTTCAGTTTAGGGAAGAGCAAATTAAACATGTACAAGGCCATAAGACAAAAAGGGATGCTTCTGGTGTTGAGAGAGCTGTCTGCTCTCTAAAGTCTTTGAAAGGTCATGGTGATCAGAGGAATTCCGTGGGGATCTGAAAAAAACCAGATGTGGTTATCTTCAAAATTAAAACGTGTCTACAGGCTGTCCCAGACCTTATAAAAAATTATGGTGCAAGTCCTCATGGACGTCATTTACTGGTGTGTGAAGGTCAAGAAAGTGACTGGGAATAGCCAATGTGGATTTACCAAGGACAAACTGGGTTCGACCAGCCTGATTGCATTTTGCAATAACATGGGTTGGCTCTGTGGACAGGGGAAGGAGGATGGATGTCATTTTAACTTTAGCAAAGCTTTCAGCACAGTCTCCCATGTTATACTTGTCACCAAACTGAGGAGATAAGGTACGTCTACAGGGTAGATAAAAGGTGGCTGAACTGTTCGGCTCAAAGAGTAGTTGTCAGCAATTTTAAGTGTGTTGGCCAGTTACTAGTGGCATTCCTCGGTGGTTTCTCCTGGGGCCAGCACTGTTTAGCATGTTCTTTAGTGACCTGCATAATGGGATAGAATACACCATTGTCAAATTTGCAGATAACGTCAAATTGGGGGAATGCCTGGTATGTGGTAGAGCAAGACTGCCATTCAGAGGGATCTCAACAAGCTGGTGAAATGGGCTGTCAGAAACCTCCTGAAGTTCAGCAAAGGTACATGTGAAGTCTTACACCTGGGATGGAGCAACACCCTGCTGGATACAGACTGGATACTATTGGGCTAGGAAGCAAATCTTACAAACCTGCAGGTTTTGATATACAACAGTATGAATGTGAATCAGCAATGCACTCTTGATGTAATGAAGGATAACAGCATATTGGACTGCATTAGCAAAAGTGTAGCCAGCAGGTTGAGGGAAATGCTTATTCCCTTCTGTTCAGGACTCATTAAGCTGCTTCTGGAATACTGTGTCCTGTGTACAGGAGAAATTTTGGTGAACTGGAAAGAGTCAGCAGAGGACTCACCAACTACAAAAGATCACAAGGAGACTAGAGCATATGATGTGGAGGACAACTTTAGGGAGCTGGGTTTGATTACCTTGCAGAAGGCAGCAGCTAAGGAAGGGATCTAATTGCTGTCTTCCACTACCTAAAACATGGCTACAGAGAAGGAGCCAGACTTCAAGAAGGTGCGCAGGGAAAGAACGTGGCAACATTCACAGGCTGCAATAAAGGAAATGCTGATTGAACATTCAGAAGGTTCTGCACAGTGAGTAGTCAAGCACTGAAATTGCCTGCCCAAAGAGGTGGGAAATTGCCATTCTTGAAGACTTAGAAAACTCAACTGGACTTGGGTTTAAGCAGCCTGATCTAATCTTGAGGCTAATCATTGTCAAAGTGAGCAGAACTTCAGTTACTGGCTTGAATAAGGTGAAGTATCCAACCACTGAGTAGCACTCCTTGTCTCCACCCATCTTCTTTTCAAATGGTGGATTTTGGAGGCTTACTGGAAAAACAGCACAGATTGAAGAATTCAAGGAAAATTATTTTAATTGTCATTGTCCTCATCTTACAGTTAATTGCTTGGTTTCTGTTACTTACCACCTCTGTGGTACTTTTCTCTTACCTCTCAGGCTGGACTAGATGACCTCCAGAGGTCCCCTCCGACCTAAACTTTTTTATGATTCTGTGATTCTACCTGCAGAGGTCTCTCCAATCCTACGTTTCCATGATTCTTACTTCATTGGATATCTTCTGTGAAATGGTGGCAGTCCTTTTCTCTCCTGACATTTGGAAAACTTTGGGACCTACAGTGCAACTTCTTGTTGCAACTCATCAGTATGTGTTCAACATCAGGTGGTTAAAACAGTAACACGAGTCGTTCAGCCTCATATTGTAGGGGCAAAGATGTCATTTGTCCTGAGAATTTACTTATCCTGCTGCTTATCCTGGAACACCTGTGCTAATAAATACTTAAGAAGTGATAAGTTATGTACCATGCATTAGCTGATTCTCTGAAGCATAGCTACTGTCTTAGACTGCCTTGTTTTACTGAGCCTTCCCTCCTTCCTCATGCTTATACACTGTACTGGCAAAAGAGATGATTAGACATTCTAATCTTCATAACTTCTTGTTGGAGACTGACCTAGAATAAATGCAAGGTACACTGGTAGGTTCACAGAAAAAAATACGAACAACTTTTCACTTTTTGCATAGAGGAGGCGTGCTGACCTCAGCTCAGTCCACACTGACTTCTTGTGTGGAATTCAGCTGCCTGAACATAGATGCTGTAGGGTACCCTGCAAAGCTGTTAGGGCACAAGACTCCCATAGTCCTTTCATCAAGGACACCTGTTGGTTTCTAAAATGGCCGTATATGCCTAGATTTGGGCTGCTGAATCCTGCCCTTTAAAAAAACTGCAGCCACTTTAGGGCCAGTAACTGTTCTGTTTGTGTAATGCTTTTATTGCAGTAATACAGTGGAAACCCTATCATGTTGCTAATAATTCTTTTTAATTTTCTAGCCCCATCAAAGAAGAAAGCAAGGTGAGAATACAACCCCTACAGGGGAATCAAAAGAGAGTTGGGGTTTTTTTTGAGGTCTCTTTACTTATTACATAGATCTTCTTTTCTGTAACAAATGTTGTCACGTAAGGGGAAAATATTTTATATTGTCTTTCCACTGTACTTCTTCCTCATGTGTAAATTGTTCCTTTCTGTCCGTGAGGAAATAAGCTGAAATAAAATTTGCTATTCAGTCTGTAACTAGCTATGGCTTTTGAAATACTACAGTGGTTATGCAGTTCAATAGCAATCTGATGTACTCACACACATGATCTCTTTGAGAGTCACTCAGAATAAGGACCTTTAACAAATATAGTATTGTAGATATGCCACAGAAAAAGGTATCCTGTATTGGTAAGTTAAATTGGTAAATTTGGAAATTGAAATCTTTTGATTCTAGTTACTATGAGTAAACCTGACGACTTAGTAATCTTTAGAATGCATCTTAATATTTTCATTTCTTTCTTTTTAAGGTGGGAAGATGATTATAAGCGCGAGGTATGTAGAGGTAGTAATTCTGCAAGTGCCTTATGTTGTAGCAGTTTCCTTATGCTTGCTTTAATTTTTCTGAAAAACTTTTGTTCTTTGGCTTCATTTGCCATTTTATTAATATCATTCCAGAAGCAAAATAACTGACCTAATGACCAGAGTTTTGTGTTCATCACAGCAGAAGGAAAATGAATACTGTACATCAGGATGCTCATCCACCTTAGCTCTCATAATTCCTGTTCAAAGTCACTGAGAGTCTCAGACCCAGTGTCTGCAGGCCAGGTCTCCCAACCTGTGCTGCAGTCTGCACTTCTCTGTTTTGCCCCTCTTCAGATCAAAGGTATTCTGTACTGAAGATTTGGTTTAAATTTTACGATATATCTAAAGATGTACAATCCTTTTTTCTAACTCAAAGGTGAAACCCAAAGTGATCTCCCAAGTGTCTGTCCTGAATAGCACTGGGCACAAACACTGAGAACTGCCTCATTTTTATCTTAGTGGCAGAGATTATTTTGTAATCTGATGTATTCTGTGGTGATGTCTTGCTCTTTTAGGCCTGAGGCTGGTCAGGTACTATGCTAGATGCAGGTGGGCCCTTCACTTTTTTTAACCATGAGGTTGGACCCGAGTGAGGAAAGCCTGGGAAAGATAGCTCTTGTAGGTATGTAGCTTAGATGTGAAATGTGTCCTTCCCGGTATTGGAAGTAATGCAGTTGCATTTGTAGTAGCTGCTACCTAATTGCTATTGAGGCCCTAACATTATATGTTTATGACTGTGACCTAAAATTACTATTTTTTCTTTGCGTTGACTTTTGTTGTTGGATAAAAGATTAAAAGGTCTTTTTTGTACAAGGTGATGCAACAAACACTAGTATTCAGTCTTTTAATTTTTCTTCCCCATTCTACAATCCCACAGAATGATCCTGTTCGGAAACAGAAGGCTCTAGAGTTCTTGGTATGTATGTAAAATAATTGTGATAAGTGTCATGCAGTTTCACCAGTATGATGCAATGAATATTGTGAAGGAGCCTCTGATTACTGATCAAACTCATTTGACCACAACATGAATTTCTAAGTTCTATTTTAATGGACTCTGCTCTTTGAAAAGCTGGTGCAGCTGTAGCATAATGTCAGCTCAGAACAACTTGCTGGTTTAAACGTGAGCTCTCTACCTGTTCTCTGGATCATTCTTCCCTGTGCTGAGGAGCCACGCTGACAAGCAGTGTTAGCAGCACTGATGTTGCTCAAGTGCTGTTGGCTGCCCATATCTAATGGGATCATTGATAATGCTGAATGAGAGGAGCCAGTCCGGTCTTGCTGCCCGTGGTGGTGTGGCTAGGGCTGCTGCAGCAGAACTGGACAGCCAAGTGAGACTGGGCGATACTAGAGCACAGCTGCTCGTGTTGGAGTGGGGAAGTTTTACCCATTCAGTTGCTGTTAGCAGTGGCATAGCAAGCCTCGGTTTGTCTTTTGGATTTATGTTGTGAAAATAGCTGACTGTTTATATTCGCCATTTTACTCCATGAAAGTCACGTTCTGTAGGTAAGGCAATTACAAAATTTAATTTGAGTCTGAATTGTGTTTATACACTGAAATCACAAGTAGAATGTTTTGAGATGTACTTCATTACCAGCTGAAGAGATTTTTTTTCTCTTTCAATTTTTCTTCTTTTTTTTCTTTTAAGCTGTGGTTACTTGTGACTTTAGGAAGAGGTAGAGAAAAAGCAAGTCTGGGTATAATCAGTAAACTACCAAAAATGCTTGGCAGACGATTAATTGATTTTTATCTACAGGAATCACAGCTATTCCTTACGGCAGACTGCCTATGTTCTTTTAACTTACTGTAATCACTTATAACTTTATATACTTACTAATCAGTCTCTTTGGACATTAAAAAGACAGATAGCCATAATTGTTCTGCACTTTATAGAATTATATCAATATCTCTTATTCCCAAAAATACACACAGGAAAATTATAATGGAAATGTTCATCTTTTTTTTGCTAAAATGGGGTGTCATGGTTTAACCTCAGTTGGCAACTGAGCACCACGCAGCCGCTCGCTCACTTCCCCCCCAGTGGAATGGGG